AATAGTGTTCACAGCTCACTGTCAAAATTTGAGCCTTCAAATCCATCTGTGTTCAGAATTATCTACGTTTGAATGTTAAAAAGATGAGTCGTCTTTTCTTGAGACACTGTCATATATAGAAAAGACATCTATAGAGATAGGGAAATAAAATTCATAGTTTGAGATATTTTTAAAGGAATTATGTGATTTTCGTACATTTCTAGTATTTCTGAAGACTATTTACATATATTCAACACTCAAATCAACCAAGCCAAGGACCATGTATAGTGTATTGTTGTATTTTTAAAGGAATTATGTGATTTTTGTACATTTCTAGTATTTCTGAAGACTATTTACATATATTCAAGACTCAAATCAATATACAATATACTGAGGCCCTGTGTGGTTCAGAACTAGCTAACTGTACTGGCAAAATTTCCCTCATTGCACACTGCATGGCATTACCAGTCTTTCTTATCCCAATTAGGGGCACAAAAGTCGGACATAAAACTCATTTCAATTCAATTTTTTGATAAAATTTTTAATAATGGGGCCATGTTTTGATCAAAGCCTCTAATTTGGCACCAGGGCAGGCAGTTTGGTTTACGTCACGATGACCCCGCAGTATATAGTTAGCAGATATTTTCCCGTTTTGTACCCCACAGTTGATCAGTTGTTTAACGGCATTTAGGGCCGCGGCATTTGGAAGTCGGCTGGTAAAATCACCAATAATGCAAAACCCTGAAATGATATAACATTTTTAGAAAGCGAAAACTTTTAATGTCTGTTAGTTTCGTTGAGTTGATTTTGGTATTAGGTGGTGAAAGCCGGCAACCTGCAGACTCTCGAAAGCACTGGCACAGCATCAAAATTGTTTTTACCTTGAGGAGGATAAGTGTAAGGTATTAGGGGGTGAAAGCTGACATCAGACTGACTCTCGAAAGCACTGGCACAGGCATCAGAATTTTTTCTTACCTTGAGTCTTAGGAGGATTCGAACCCACAGCACTTACTCGCCTAGCAGACAAATATCCAACTGGCTACAAACAGTGATATTCTAGAAACTAGGTATTAGGGGATAAGAGCTGACACCAAGCATACTCTCGAAATCACTTGCACAGGCATCAGAATTTTTCTAACTTAGTCTAGTTGTTCAGATGGGACAATAAACAGAGGCCCCATGTGCTACAGGCTGTGCCCATTAAAGATTCCTCGACAGTTGGAAATAGAAAAAGAGTAGGCTTATGCCACTGTCCTGCCAAAATTTCCCTCATTGCACACTGCATCAGTACTTACCTAATCCATTATAATTATAATTGTAAGTATGAGCCCCAATAATATCCCACCCTCGGGCTTCGTAGACATTTCCATCTTCTCCAATAACAAAGGTATAACCTATATCAGGCCAATCTACAATACAAAATTAGGCATCACAAAAGTGAAGTCTGCTGCGAACTGCTTGAATAATGATGTTAAAGGGATTGTAAAGAAGTTTTATAAATTTTTTATGTGTATCAGAGACACTGATAGCATCAATTTACATCATTCTAATTTTCAATCAGATGTCTGTGGTTCTTGTTAAAGAGATTGTAAAGAAGCTTTATAAATTTTGTATGTGTATCAGAGACACTGATAGCATCAATTTACATCATTCTAATTTTTAATCAGATGTCTGTGGTTCTTGTTAAAGAGATTGTAAAGAGGTTTTCTAAATTTTTTATGTGTATCAGGGACACTGATAACATCAATTTACATCATTCTAATTTTCAATCAGACGTCTGTGGTTCTTGTTAAAGAGATTGTAAAAAGGTTTTCTATATTTTTTATGTGTATCAGAGACACTGATAGCATCAATTTACATCATTCTAATTTTCAATCAGACGTCTGTGGTTCTTGTTAAAGAGATTATAAAGAGGTTTTCTAAAT